AGTTTATTAAAAACTACTTAGGTACCGAGTTACTTAGTTACTTTTTCATATTTCCGCTGACACTGTTTAATTAAGCTCATTTAAAAGAAAAGAAAATTCAAATTTATGAGTAGATTGCTTAATTAATAAGGTAATTTTAGTGAGAGTCCTGCTGCCCATCAGCTCCCTGGACTCTTGCTTATGTTAATAGGTGTGAACCTACAGAAAGTAAACACATTCGCAGTCTTCCAACTGTAATTTTTCACCGATATCAGTTCAGAACTTTTCTACCATTAAAATCAGCAGCAACATCAGCAATTTACTCAGCTTTGATTTTTACTGTAATATATTTCACTAGCAAGCACGCTGATCACTTCACATAGAATCAGACATTATTACTGCATTTCAGAGTTATACAGCCACACAGCTTTTAGCAGGGAGAGGGAGAGAGGGAGAGAGAGATAGAGAGATAGAGTAGAGAGAGAGAGAGAGAGAGAGAGAGAGAGAGAGACGGGGAGGGATCAGATCAGCCCAGTCAGCTTAAAGAACGACAGCGCGACAGAATCACCGCTCAGAGTTGATGAAGAACCTGTATTAGACTACATTTCTTGTCTCACAGCCGTAAACGACCATTTTTCTCCAAACAGCAGCTAAACTAGCCTGTATAAATGGGTAAACTGTAGACTGTGGGTGACACCTGTTAACTAAAGTAGCCGAAAGGCACTTGTAATAAAATACGCAACAGATTTCAAGTTTAATAAACAGAAGCGATATAAAAGAAAGAAGAAATCCGTAAATACGGTACCTGTTTAGCTTGGATCAGCTAGCCTGGCTAATGCTGCTTCAGGCTGGAGTCAAGTTGTAGGAGTGGATCTCAGCAGGTTTCATGTTTGGCCACTGTTAATAATGCCATTTTCCTTAGTTCATGTGAAAATGAACACAGTTGACTGTTTGGATGCAGTCTGTTCCTCATGTGTGCTGGTTTAGTTATCCTCTGCCCTTCTCCATTAATCTGGAAATCTCTGTAGTGTTTTTCTTGCCAGAGCTGCTGTTTTTTGATTGGTGAATCTTTTACATTTAACCGCCCTTCGTTCGTACTGGTTTTTGAGCAGATACGCTCATCATTTATTTTTACTCTGTAATGTTATGAAAATTAAAGTAGCTGAGTAAAAGTATTTCATTAAAAATGAACTTAAGTAAGAGTAAAAATACTATGATTTAATTCTACTCAAAAAAGTACCATTACAAGGAAAACTGTACTCAATTACAGTAACGAGAGTAAATATTATTCATTACTTACACCTCTGCCCTCTGTCATAGATGCACAAAGGTGTTTTTGGCCCTCAGCAAGGACTACTGCCCCACCCGCGGAGGACTCGACAGCCAACCACAATTGAACTGAGCAGTTCTATGCAATTCAACATTCCAACTAATTACACATGAAAATAACTGGGGGTGGAAATTTTCTTCTTCCCTCCATCCTGCAGAAGGTGAGCATCACAGACACATATCTTTAAGTATGAATTTGCTCTGTTAGTCATGAACTGCACCAATATGTTATACCTCAACTAGCATAACTAACTAGTTTAGCTAGCCAGCTAGACCATACTAAACAATACTCATCTCTTTTCCTTTAAGAAAAGCCTTGAAACTGTATGCAAATGGTCAAATAATTACATCAAATCTCAAGTGTGTTGAGAAATTAGCAAATAATGGTGAATAAATGGAGGCAAAGCTGTGGATTGGGAGCTAATTACCACTGGTTAAGTATACTATGAGCCTCTGAGGCTGGTAGTATTTGATAGATGCCTTTAATACTCATGTAGTACTAAATACTGACAGATAAGAGCTATCGTAATGTATTTAGCAGGATCCTAACTATTAATGGTTTCCTACAAGACATAAAAGCAATGCTGAATGCTGCCACATATGTTGTTTAGCACAGGGTTGGGATAGCTACTGAAAAATTTATAGTTAGCTACTTTGTAGCTACTTTCCCAAAATTTGTAGCTAGCTACAATTTAGCTTTTCCAGAAAAAGCAGTGGCTACTTTTTGAGAAGTAGTGTACGACTTTAGTTACTTTCAAAGCGCGATTGTCAGAATGTTTGTGAATATCCACCTGACACACCAAACAAGCCCAACTGAAAGTGTGAACAAGACACTGCATTTAATCATGTGCCAAAACGAAACATACAATTACAAAGCTGCAAATATACAAGAAGATCACCAAAAAGTAAGTTTAAGTGTAAGCAACTATCAAACTTACACAACCAAAGGCATGATATCCAACAAAAATTTCGACTAAGTAAAGGCAAAATCAATCATTCCAGGTTTTTCCTAACAATTAAACAAAAAAAACATATACAAACCAAACAATTTTGTGCAAAGCACTGTCAACTATTGAAATAAAACTGCTCCAATTTAAACATTTCAGCAAGATATTTACAGACATGACATTCAGAGTCCTTTGTTAAACTTCAGCAACACTTTAGCCTCAAAACTCTTATCAATGACCCTGGCTCTGTTTGGGGTGAGAATCAGGCCTGAATATTCTCTCCACTGCTGCAGAGCTGCTGCAGCTCCACAGCAGAATTAGATTTTAGGTAAAATAACAATCTTCCTTTGCTGTAAAACCGTTGTAACATACAGCTCTAACACAGTTTTCACAAGAAATGGTCTTAAACACTGGAGTTATGTGATATGTTATGTGTTTTGTTATGTTATTCCCGAATCTCAAACATACACCGATCAGGCATAACATTATGACCACCTCCTTGTTTCTGCACTCATTGTCCATTTTATCAGCTCCACTTACTATATAGGAGCACTTTGTGGTTCTACAATTACAGACTGTAGTCCATCTGTTTCTCTGCATACTTTGTTAGCCCCCTTTTATCCTGTTCTTCAGTGGTCAGGACCCCCATGGACCCTCACAGAGCAGGTACTATTTGGGTGGTGGATCATTCTCAGCACTGCAGTAACACTGATGTGGTGGTGGTGTGTTAGTGTGTGTTGCACTGGTCTGAGTGGATCAGACACAGCAGTGCTGCTGGAGTTTTTAAACACCTCAGTGTCACTGCTGGACTGAGAATAGTCCATCAACCAAAAATATCCTGCCAACAGCGTCCTGTGACCACTGATGAAGGACTAGAGGATGACCAACACATACTGTGCAGCAGCAGATGAGCTATTGTCTCTGACTTTACATCTACAAGGTGGACTGACAAGGTAGGAGTGTCTAATAGAGTGGACAGTGAGTGGACACAGTGTTTAAAAACTCCAGCATCACTTCTGTGTCTGATCCACTCATACCAGCACAACACACACTAACACACCACCACCACGTCAGTGTTACTGCAGCGCTGAGAATGATCCACCACCCAAATAGTACCTGCTCTGTGAGAGTCCTGACCACTGAAGAGCAGCGTAAAAGGGGGCTAACAAAGTATGCAGAGAAAGAGATGGACTACAGTCTGTAATTGCAGAGCTACAAAGTGCACCTATATAGTATATATATACTATATAGCTGGTAAAATGGACAATGAGCATAGATACAAGGAGGTGGTCATAATGTTATGCCTGATCGGTGTATATACAAATGCAGTTTTATACTGCACTATGCTTTTACTTTACAAATATGTTTTAAATGTGTTTACAAGTGTGTCATGGTAGATAAGGACCTTAAAGAGATCAATGCTGTACGCAATGTATTTCCTTATGCCATCAGAAGCTGATGAAGCCAAAAGTTATGATGTTAATCTCATTACAGTGCAATGTCAATGCCCAGTGTCTGAAGGAGGAAATTTATGTAAACATATTGCATTTGTTCAGATGATTCATAGGCAAAATAACACAGATATTAATACGATTAGGAAAGAGGAACTACACTCATTATTAGCACAACAGGTTTTTTGTTTGGACAAAGAACATCTATATGTTAACAGTTCAGGGGGCTTTGAGGTTGTTAATTTGCAAGCTAAGCAATGTACTTGTTTAGCAAATAGCCTTGGAGAAATATGTATATGTTTGAGGCTATCAGAGATTCTGTTTGGGCTTACTGAGCCACAAACTGACAACAGCATGCAAAAAGAAAATGATGAAAGAGTTGATATATGATCTCAAGGACTGGTGTGAGAGTTCAGACTACAGAGAGATGCCTGAAATACACACTGCAGTCCAGCATGCTCATATGCTTGCCTTTGGGCAGTATGTTAAGACAAGCCAGAAGGAAAAATTACAAGATTGCATGACTACAGACAAAAAATTTAACTTGCAAAACGTGCCGTTCATAACACACAAAACTATAACTAAAAACCGAAAATAACAGGTCATCATGCTGTATACATACACAGGCCAGATTCAAAGTTCCAGGTTCGTTCTTTAAAGAAGGAAAAATAAAGTACAAACCCAGAACAGTGCTCAGGTAAATGGACTGTTCTAGGATAGCTGATGTTGATAGATGTTTGAATTACTTAAAGGAAAAACAGTACAGTGTTCGGCTAAATAATCTGTTCTAATTTAGCAATTTATGAACTACTTAAAGGAAAGACGGTACAGTGCTCAGGTAAATAATCTGTACTAGTTTAGCAATTTATTAACTAAAGGAAAAACAGTACAGTGCACAGGTAAATAATCTGTTCCTGTTTAGCAGTTTATTAACTAATCAAAGGAAAAACAGTACAGTGCTCAGGTAAATAATCTGTTCCAGTTTAGATCTAACCAATAAGGTTTTTGGGAGAGCCCATTGCGCAAAATTTTGGCCAATCAGTGGCCAAGTAGACATGGCCCTCGGTTTTTTCTCCTTCTCCTTTCTATCTGTACCTGAAGAAAGACAGAGAGACACGCAGAAGGTTCTCAGCTTGATCACTTAGGCTTAAACTGAGAAAAACCAAGAGTAACTGCTTCTAACTAGAGAAATTTGCAGTTAAAGAATTGTTTATGGTTGAAAACAGAGTATTATGACTTTCTAAAAGCCTGCAAAGAAGAGGAAAAGTTGTCACTTACCAGAAATAGTTGGGCTCTTCCAGCAGTCATTCCCGTAGAGTTGCTTTGGAGGGAGAACTTCATTTACACCTGCAATAAAAAACAAACATACCGGATTGGATTCAGTGAGTGTGAAGTATGAATTCGTATATGTATTTTTTTGACTAAAATAGCCAAAATAACTGAGAATAAAAGAGTAGTGCTAATTAGCTTAGCGATCGTGACCACGTTGTAGCTTAAGCCAAGCTAAGCTAAAGCTAAGCTAACCCTATTGAATGCAATGGGAACAGTGACTAAGCTAGGCTAAGCTAATGCTATTGAGTGTAAACTAGTGGCTAAGCTAACACTATTGAGTGTAAACTAGTGGCTAAGTTATAGCCACGTGTGTGTTTATGGGAAAGTGGAACTATAATGTGAGTTTACAGAGTCTGTTCCCATGTAAACAGGTCAGTTTTTTTTGCTGGGAAAAGATTGAATTCTGAGAACATTCTTCACATCATCCAACTGAATGCTACTGGTGCACTGAAGGGGACGAGATGGCGAGCCAAGCCCTGTTAAGGACCACACAACCAAAACTTGAGTTTGAGTATTCCTTTTTGCTGGACTTTGTTCCACTGATCATTCTTATTTACTAGTTCACTAACTTTTTGATATTTGATATTTGAACTTTGAGACTGAACTTTGATGCTCGAGTGAATACATTCTGGGAAAAAAAAAACTTAATTTACTTTAAAGCAAAGAGAGAGAATTTCATTTTACTTTAAGGTACTTATTCCTTGCTATTTGATAGTTCTTTGATATTTCTTTTTTTTTTCATCCTTGTTAATGTCATTAACAATTGTTGGATTGTGTTTGTTGATGCTTAAATCTACAATTTCAAGGTAAGGTGATTTTGAACTAAATAACCTAAAGGGTATTTCAAAGAAAAGCTGACGTTAAACCAATAATAGCTAAAGTTAAACCAATAAAAAGTAATAGTTTCTATCTTTAAATAGGAAATAAAATCTAAACTCTAAAATGAAATAACAAAATAGTATACTTACCTCAACCCACTGAACCAAATGTAAACTGAACCTAGAACAAAAGCAATTAGTTGTTAAAATAATTATAAAAAGGTTACACTATTGTATACTTATCTGAGGACTGAATAACCAAACCTGAAATAGACAACAGAGGTGATTAATATAGATCAATAACACTGAGTAACTTGGGTATAAAAGAAAAAAAGAAAAAGAAAAAAAGAAAGAGAAAAAAAAGTGTGATTTTGCACTTTGAATGAGTTGTACATTGTTTATTTTATTTGGGGAAGTTTCTGTACATTGATTTATTTATTTTATTCATTTTATTCCTGAAAGAAAAAGAACCTTTGCTACATTGAAGAAATTTACATCATATTTTCTCAATACAGTACATAAATTGCCATATATCTGGTCTCGTGTCTCATGTCTGTTGCTTCATGAGCAAACCTAACTGGTCCATTAGTCAGTTCAGCTTCTGTACAGGTAACTCACAAAATATGTGCCATGCACACATGTCTAGAGTACTTCCGATTACACTTAGCCCAAACCTTTTTTCATTTATAAGTTACAAGACTGTTTCTTACTTGAATTCATGTTCAAGTTTTTCAACTGCAACCGCTGGATTACTATGGTCAACCACTGATATTTCCGAGAACCTAATGTTGTTTGCAAGTCAGCCAACACTTTGAGCCTCACCTTCAAAAAATAAAATGGACTTTGTTGGAGGGCTACTTCTGACAGCAAAGATAAAGACCACCTAGTTATTTTTTGTGTTAATATTGTGTCTTTAAATAAAGCATATTGATGCGTCTAAAGCATCTGCCTCTGTCTACAACAGGGTTCTTCAATTTCTGTTCCTTGACCCTGTGTCTAGTTTGGTGATTTCCCTGTTCAAACGCCTCTACTAAACCTGGCAATTAACAGGCGAGTTGAATCAGGTGTGTTTGAGCAGGGAAGTCACCAAACTGTGCTGGACACTAGCCTTCAGAGTTGAAGTGCCTAGAGTCTAGGGCTTCCTGTTCTGTGTTCACAGTACCCTCAGACAGTTTACTGCACATTGATGTCACTGATGTTGTTGGCCCTAGTAGAACTCCAATGCTTTTAAGCTCCTCTTTAAGGCACATCTTTTTGTTTGTGTCCACCTGCAAATATGCCACTATTGAGTTCAAAGACATGTTTTCTGGTGGCCCAGCTCTTTGCCTGACCTCTCCAACTGACACTAGGTATCTTTATTGGGAAAGATGTTAGATTAAACAATATGCAGCATTAAAACCTAAACAGTCATTTTCTGTGATTATGATTATGTGTTTCAATATGCCTTGATTATAAACTATTTCATCATACTCCTTTCTAGATGATATATACTCCTACACTGTCAATATGATCTCCTATCCATTTACTTGCTTTGTATTTATTCATTGAAAGGCCCAAATAAACCCCCTGTTACGTTCCTGCCTAAGGGTATAAGGCCAGAAAATGGTAGTACAGTGGGGTGTATGATAAACCACACAAGGTATTGCCCAGTTCAAAGTGTATTTACAATTATTTACAACTATTTACAAAGAAACAAGCCATCTCTCCAGGGGTAAGCCAGGCCAAAATAACAAACAAAACCCACTCTAACTCCACCCACAAATCTAACTAGCCTAATCAAACCAAAATCAAACAAAAGACAGGCAACTAACCTAACTCCCTAACTTAAAATGACAGACAGGAGAAAAAAGGTATATACAACGAAAATGGCACTTACCCCCTTCTGGCACAGTCACAATGAACAGAGACACTATTGACACACAGTCTATCAAATACAAAACAACAGCAAACACCCACACAGCCAACACAACAGCTCAAGACAAAATTGTCATTCTCATATTCTCATATTCATATTCATATTCATATTCATTCATTCATTCATTCTCATTCTCATTCTCATTCTCTCTCTCTCTCTCTCTCTCTCTCTCTCTCTCTCTCTCTCTCTCTCTCTCTCTCTCTCTCTCTCTCTCTCTCTTTTTCCCGCCATTTTATCAGCTTCCTGGAAGGGCTTCTGTGGCAGCCTTCAGGATTAGCTCCACCTAGTGACATGGAGGGATACACAAACAGACACAGAGAAAAACACAGAAAGAACAAGACACCTAGCTACAGCTGTAACACCCCCAAATAATTTGGTTTGCAAGTACATACCTTCTTTTCCTATGCCCAAAACTGAGTAGAAGGATACTTTCCACCTCTTTAAAAACACAGGTAGGGTCCTTCGGGGCAGAGTTGATGTTTATGTTGGTAGGGAGTGCATTTGTGTCTGTTAGTGTGTCCATGCTACTGTCAGAAGTAAGGTGTACATTTGTGTCAGCAAGGGGGGCCATGTTTGTACATGTGGAAACGTCCACCGAAATGTTAGCAGTATGATATGTATTGGTACAATCAGTAGAAACAGCATTTGTATATGTGAGTGTATCTGTTCTACTCTCAGAAAAGGTGCATAGATTTGTGTGTGAGGTATGGTCCTTGTTTGTACCGAGGCCAGAGTAGTGAAGGTCTGCACTTAAAACGTCTGTAGGTGGAGGAGGTGGATAAGCACTTTGTGTACTTGTTGCTTTGCTTTTGGCAGGTTAACTTCATGTGTGCTAGTGCGGTTCTGAAGACTGGAAACCAAAATATATATATATATATATATATATATATATATATATATATATATATAAAAGAGAAAGAAAATAAGAAAAATTCAGTTGCTACTCCAAATATTTGCTACCAATCTTTTGACCCTTTCTTTTTCTGGGAGCCATTGTTCTGTTTAAGGAAAAGAAAACACAGTAAAGATTATTTAAATGAACTGTTTATAATATTTTTCATATAATTGTAATATATCTTTATCTAGATGTGAGCATTCACTACTTCTCTGTCTGGCAGGCATCTAGAATTAGTTAACAGCCTCGGAGGAATATAACAGTAGTAGTTATTAACCCCGGTAAAAGTTAAAATGATTTAATGAGTTAAGCGTGACGTCACGTGTGAAATATGTAAAGAATATGTAAAGACCAGTCAAATTTTGAGTGTGAGGAAGGCCTTCGTTCGCAATGACATACCTAGACACTGCTGGCCCCGTTCGATTCGAGAGGAAAACGATGTTAGACCTTCGCAGAAGAAAAAGCAGGAAATCGACAGATTCAGAGCGGACGACAGTCTGTTAAAACCGAGCATAAAGAGGAGATGTCTTTCGATGACGTATTTGACTATTTTGTCGAAAGAAACCCGGCTGAACAATCGCTACATCGTTTTCCGTCAGAGCAGGCTGTGTCACGGTAATAAACCAGCCGAAGTATCCATTTCCGAAAAGGAATTGTACCTGTTAAACCAGACCGTCCCGAAAACGAATGAAGTGGGGGAATTGCATGCTATGATCTTACATGCCAGAAACAGGTCATGTATGGTTCACGACACAAAACACAAGACCGAACTGTCCAGGTCTGCCACAATCACACTGAAGGTCAGATCCGCGCATTATTTGCATCAAATCACCCTGACCATCACAGGGCTCAAGAACCCTGAGTTTACCTACAGAGTTCGACTGGAAGTGTGCACGTCACCAGTGATAAGGCATGGAAACGTGTGCTCCAGCGATGACGACCAGTGGATTTTTTATTTTGCCCCTACGGAAAAAGAAGAGCATGTTCAGCTGATTTAAAAAAATAACTTTGCGGAAGAGTGAACTACTTGACATTTATCACGCAGTCAAACATGTTCTGACAGGTAAGAAAAAAACGCTTTTTTTCTTAAGAATTAATTTTGACCATTAGAGGTACCGTAGTTTGTGAATATAAGCTGTGAAAATGGTTATTCCGTTTCAAGTTGCAGCGTGTGGCTTAAGAGTAAGCATATATGAGCCCGTTAAACCTTTTAAGGATTTTCTCTCACTATCACCAGTCATCGTAATGTGCGGTTGCGACAGCGGTCATATTCCACGCCAGTAAAATCTGATGTCTGAATACCAAGATGACAAAACAACGATGCACATGTGCGAGGACATGTCCAGTGGGAGAGATTGGGGGAGTTCACCCACACATCCCCCACGATGAGAAGAGTTCTGATCTAGACCGTGTGGAACATAAAAAAGCGGTGAAAATGACATTTCAGATTCGACCAGCGCAAGCGAGGTAGAAAAAGAAGATCAAGCATCCGGCGTGACCGATCTGGACAGCGATACATTTATCGTGGTGGACGAGGACGGGTGACAAAGCCGACCGTCTTCACCGGCTGACATCGAGCAGCGTGAGAAAGAGAACGCAAACGCTTTCTCAGGAACGGGGTCACAAGGTCAATGCGAGGAACCTCGTGACACTGGCGCCAGCTCGGAAAGTCAGAGCGAGAAGCCTTCGGACCCCGGGCTGAAGGACAGAGCCACGAAAACTGTGGAATTTATTTGGGCAAGAGCGATCGTCCTGGCTGTGCGTCAATGGGTCACGAGAGATTGTGGTGGGTGTCAAATTGAACACCCTTCACAAAAACAATACAGTTGCGTGGAAGGCGTCCCATAAGATTTCTGGACAACGAGTTAAAACAGAAGTGGCTGAATCTCATACCCGCTTGTGAATTGGAGATCAAAGAGTGTCTAAAGCAACACTTTGAATTAAAAGAACCTCATGATGGTTTTGTAATAAACATTTTGCGTAGAATTTACACGCTGACGCAGGAAAAATTGGGTGAATATAATCCGCTGTCCGAGTACCTAAGCAGAGACCCGTCGGATATTTTGAGTCGCTTTTACATGCGGCTAGATGAACCTCTGGACTGTTGCAGTATCAACGGCCACCAACGTATGTAAAATTCTGATGGGATCTGAGGATGACAGATCTGTGTAGTGATTTACGAACGAGAGAGATGGTGTATTTGTACATAAGACATTTATGGCACCCATGTTTTTTGCTGCTAGTAAGTTTACATATTGTATATTTTTTATTAGACAAACCATGTAACATTATTATTAGAAAAAACTGGGTAACCCTTTTGTTTTATTAAAAACAATCTCATGCTTTTCATTTAATATTTTAGTAAAAAAGTAAAAAGTAAAAAAAGTAAGCTTTTTATTTTGTATTTTAGTAATTGGAGAGTTTGTGTAATTGTTTATAACACCTTTATGACATCTTTTGATCACTGCTAGTAGGTTTACATACCTTTTTTGAACCCCTTTGTGCATGTTTATTAGACAAACTGTGTAGTCTTTTCATTTTAATATTTTCATATTTTTAAATCATGTAACCATTTTTCATTTTAATATTTCTAAATCATGTAATTATTTTTTTATTTTAATATTTTAGTAGAAACTTGTAACCTTTTAATTTTTATATTTTAATATTTTTAAATCATGTAATTATTTTATACTTCAATGTTCCTCACATTTAGTTTGAAACTAATTTACCTATATCTTGGACTAACGGTTTGTCAGTAAATTAGATACTAACAACCAAAAAAATAATAAAAGAAATAAAACATTTATAACAAAAAAAAAACACATAAAACCTTTAAAAAAATAATAAAAATCATAAAAACCTTTCGAAGTCGTCTTCGTGTCATCAGTTTGTTTTCTCCACATTTTATTTTAGACCGTGTTTTTTGAATTGCCCAGAAGAAAATATAAAACCCCAACATTTTTCAAACCTCAGCCATTTGAACATGTCTCAGACGACGCTGCAAGAGTTGTATCATAAACCGGGTGCGGAAGGCAGTCTTGGGGGTAGGGCAGCCCTTTATCAAAAGCATAAGAGAGGATGGTGTGATTAAAAAAATACCTGTGAAATTGATCAGTTTTTGGGTTCGGGTCTCTAAAGAACGCAGAGTCTTCATGAAAGGTTATGAACAGTGTTTTACAGATGAATTTTTTTTGTGGATAAAATTATTAAACGAGACCTACCGATGTTTAAACTAAAAGACCTCGATAATGAAATAATAGAAGGTTCTTTTTATGAAGAAGAAATGCAGCGCTGTCGCCTCACAGCGAGAATGGCCTGTGTTCGATTCCAGGCCGGGTTCGGGTCTCTAAAGAACGCAGGGTCTTCATGAAAGGTTATGAACAGTGTTTTACAGATGAATTTTTTTGTTGATAAAATTGTTAAACGAGACCTTACAATGTATAAACTAAAAGACCTCGATAATGAAATAATAGAAGGTTCTTTTTATGAAGAAGAAATGCAGAAAATGACTGTACCTGAAAATAATAATTCATGTAGAAAAAATACTGGCTAGGAAAAAAACTAAATCCGAGGTACTCGTTAAGGTGAGATGGAAAGGTTGGGATAAAAAATTTGACTCCTGGGTAAATGAAAATTCTATCCTGGACGCTCGATAAAACCCGCGAGAGAGCGGGCGAGGCCTATTCAGAAGCGCGGGACCCACCATGGAACAAACCAGAGATTTTTTCATCACTTTGCCGAGTAACGCTAGCGACAAATTATACCCTCAAAACGATATATCCAGTTACAGGGTGAAGTTAGCCAAAACTATTCATCTAAAGGGCGGTTGGGAGGCAGGTGTAGCCGAAATATCATTTTCCCAGAGTTGGTACACGCTGGCGGACGGCGGGCGACAGTAAACAGACTTTTGGGTGTGTGAAGGGCCGGATCTCAGCAAACAGGTGGCTTTTAGATTAAAATATGGATATTATACCTACATCAACGACATTTTGACCGAAATTAACAAATATTTTAGAACCACCAAAACCCACATCGAATTATATTTGGATAAGGTCACGAGATGGATAAAATTAGGGGTCACACCGGAGGAGATTAAATGACTGACCTCGATGAACAGATGGCCTATTCAGATTCAAATGCACGGACAGTTGGCGCACATTCTGGCCTTCGAGGAACAGA